CCATCCGGGCCATCGTGAAGATGATTGAGGGCATCTCAGACGACGTCATTCCCGGCCTCGAGATCCCGACCGGCACGCCCCTCGTGTATGAGCTGGACGCGGACCTCAAGCCCATCGCCAGCCCGCTGGCCGTGGAGCCCCTCAAGTTCGGGCGCTACCTGGGTGATGCCGCATCTGGGCTTTGATTTTGCAACATCTTTTTGTTTTCTGACCGGAAGGATTATCCGACTATTGTTACCATAGGGATTATCCGACTATTGTTACCATAGGGCCTGGAATTAGGCATTTGATTCCTACTTCGCACTGCACCGCTCAGGAGAAGATCAAGGCCGCGGCCGAGGCGGTGAAGAACCAGACCAAGGTCGGCTGAAGTGCCGAACTTACAAATCCTCCTTGCGAACCGCAGTGGACATGAGGAAAAAACGCATGCAGCTGCACTTGCACCCGACTGAGCATGTACGTGCCCAATCAGCAGAGTCCGAACAGAAAGAAGGTCTAGGCAAACTAGCCATGTGGAGATGCCACATTGGGGTAGCAGCGTAAGTTTCAATCCAAAATGCCTCACAAATCTGGTAACACAGTATGATCCTGCATCCTTCCCACCTACTTCTCTTGAAATGAAGTGGCTGCTGGGTTCTCCAAGCCATGCTGCACATCCCGCACGAAAAAGTGAGGATATGCAAAGTATCCAAACCCTGAACCCTGGACCCTAAACAGTAGTCTCCGTTTTCTTTTCCATTATCCCTATAGAACCCCTATATAACCCCTATAACCTAAACCCAAAACCCTATATACCCCCTATAACCATTAACAAGCTGATGGGCCGATTTTGTATGCTCAAGCTTTGAGCCTCGGTAGGACCAAAACGTTTCTCAGACGTTCCACAGGTTCATGAGGGTTATAGAGGGATTTTTGGGGTTATATCGAGTTCTTTAGGGATTGTAGGGTATATATTAGGGTTGTATAGGGATAATGGAAGAGAAAATGGAAACTACTAATTATATGGTATAATAGAGTGTATATCAGGGTATTTCTTTGTGGTTATGGACCTCTACGGATGAGCTTGGCGTAAGTTACCGATCCCAGTTCATTTGTTTGGTAGAGGTGCGGAAGAAGATAGACTAAGTGATTACATAAAATTCTGCTCTGATCATTCCACGGCGGCAAGAGCAGCAATCATCCAGACTTATACCGCGCTGTGGCCACATCATCCCCTGCAGTTTTATGGTTATTAGTTGGTAATACCTACTGTAGATGGTAGTTCCCCAGAATAAGGGGACCCCAATATAGACCCTAATATACTATAGTCCTTATTATGGGGACCCCCAAAATGGTACCCCTAATTTTAGGAAACCTCCAGATAACTGGGCGAGCACCCCAAAAGTTTTGGGTTGGTGCCGGCGCCACAGATGGAGAGTCGAAGCGGCAAACGCTGGCAGGAGTGGCAGTTGAGGGCAGTTGAGTGCGTGTTCAAATCATGATCCTGGGAAGGTTTAAGTATTTAGGGTTGAGGGCCTCGAGCACTAACCTGCCCTCAATTTGTGGGCTTGGTCATGCTGTTGCTCACGAACGCTGGCAACCGAAATCCCACACAGCTCTCAATCCCCTAAATCCTCTACACTGCAGGAACATAGAGTCCCCCTTAAGTAGATAGAAGATGGGGTAAAGGGGGATCCTATTATAATATACCCAAAGCCATATTCTATCTACTTCAGGGGAACCCTAAACCCTAAATAGTAGTTTCCATTTTCTTTTCCATTATCCCAATATGACCCCAATATGACGCAATATTCTATCTACTTAAGGGGAACTATGAGGACTCCAGGCCTTGTGCAAGTTTTTCATGGCAGGAGCGACGATGGTGTCTGTGGGCAAGTGCGGTGGCTCTAAACATGTCGTCTGGAGGTGTGAACCTGGGCTTGAACTTTTAGTGCTTTGGGGAGGTTTAGTGTGAACCTGGGCTACGGCAGCGGCTTGCAATGTATTGAGGCGTTTGGGGGATGAGCGTTTTGGATCTATGTTGTAGATTTAGGTTTTTTTAGGTTTAAGACTTTGGTGGGCTGAATCTGGGGCTCAGGGTGCGAGGTACATGCCGTGCTCTTTCGGAGGGAACTGCCTTCCTCGTCCATACCTCGTTCGAGTTGCCTATTGCAAGTGGGGAGTCAAAGAACCCATAGGGTTTAGGGGTTTATTAGTTTATGGTTTATGGAACAAGCGTTAAGTTTCTCCGCATAGCTGTCCTACGACAGCCTATTGCGGATTCCCTACGAACATGTGGCTAGTAGAGGGAAACAGCACACCAACCTGAATTTCAAGCCATCAGGCCAGGGGGATAAGCTTTTTCTTCTTAGGTTCAGCGTTTCAAGTACCTGGGGATGGCCAGAAGTGCCCGGAACTATAGCGGAACACGCCTGGCTTCGCAGATCCCAACATCAAAAGTCACAGAGATATTCAGTTGGACCCTCGAAGCCCAAAATAACCCTAATATAACCCCAATATAACCCTAATGTAACCCCAATATAACCCCAATATAACCTTAATGTAACCCCAATATAACCCCAATATAACCCCAATATAACCCCAATATAACCCTAATATAACCCCATATACCCGCTTAACGAAAATTCGGAGGTCTTAGGATTTGCGGGCATGGGGATCCCCCAGCATGGGCGAGTCCTACCTCTGTAGGGTTTAGGGCCAACCTTAGGGTTTAGGGTTTAGGGTTTAGGGCCAACCTTAAACCCTAGCAGTCCTCACCCAGAACCAGAGCTTCCCTAAGGGTTTGCCTCATGCCTCGAAGCGGCAGACAAGGCACAAATCACCGCCCTGCCAGCCTCCACCCAAGCCCTGAATCCTGAACCTTAATCCTAAGCCCTGAACCCTAGACCCTAAGCACAATAAGAAGACCTAAACACCAAGCACCAACTACAGGACCCAAGTCACATGTTAGGCATCAGGGTCGATGGAGTTCCAAAACAACATACCCCAAACCCTTAGACATTATGGGGCTGAGGGTGTAGGGTAGGGGTTTAAAGTTCAGGGTTTAGGGTTTCATTGCGGGGTCCCCTGATATACTTCCAAATATGACCATCCTTAGTAGAGGAACCCCATCTTCCTGTAAAGAGGTTTAGGGTTCAGGGTTTAGGGTTTAGGGTTTATGATACCGGTTTCCGTGTCAATTTGCCAGTCTTCACTTGCTTCTACCTTATAGCTCTCCTAATCCTATCCCCCTAAACCCCGCATATCCCTCTATACATATTCAGGTGTAGCCCCTCCTTAAGTAGATAGAATATGGCTCGGTATATTATAATAAGATCCCCATATGCCCCATGTTCTATCTAGTTAAGGGGAGACCTAAACCCCAGGCCCTAGGAAGCCTGAGGTACTGCTACAGCGCCTTCAGCCCCGCTGTAAAGGAAACTTTTCAGCTTTCCCTGCGCGAGACGGACTTGGTGCCTCAAGGGCTCGAATGATTTTGCGTTTAGGCTTAGGGTTTAGTATTTAGGCTTTAGGCTTAGGGTTGCGTAGGGTTTAGTCATAGGTTTCAGGCTTGTATGTTGTCTAGGCTTAGGGTTGTGTAGGATTAAGTCATAGGTTTCAGGCTTGTACCCCTGGGTTTTGGGATCCGTTTAAGGGCCCCTGGGGGACTACACTTGGCCATATGGGCTATGTAAAGGCCACGATGAGGAAATCTTTTTGGTTACGACCTCAGGAGTGCAACCCTGGAACCCTTTATGTAGGGTTTAGGTTAGGATTGTTGCAGGGCTTGCGGAGCACGTATGGCTTTCTATAAGGGTTTCATGGTGGTTCTGGCGGGGGGGTGCCCCAGTCGTCAAGATGCGGGGTTTTACTTGTTGGTGCTGAAATGGAGAGCCGGGGAGTGGATTTTAAGACATACCCCTCTCTATAACCCCTATTTATGACTTTAGCTACATTCCCCCAACTACATCCCCTCAACCACCAGTAAGGTAAGGATTCGGGGGAGCGAAAGAGCTCTCCAGCCATCGTATGGGGGATTGAGGGATTTTGCGGGACTTGAATAGCATTGCATAGGCGAGTGGCGAGTATTCCACTACTCACTCTCGTTTTTTGTCTCTCTGCCATGGTGTTTTTAGTGTCTCCCTTAGAGTTCTACACCGCGCTTGAAATACAGAGATTTCATCGGGGCGTTTCAGTGCCCCTGCCCGCATGTCCCTAAACCCTCTTGTTGTGTTCAGCTAAGGGTCGGCATTACCACCCAAGATTGCAAAAGACCTTCATGCAATAGCATCTCTCTCTCTGATTAAATGTGTCTCCTCATCCAGTTGACCCTCACGAGGGATATGGTAGGAAGTTGACAACATCAATCGATGCAGGAATGAACCCAGCTCAGAAACCCGACCCTGGCTAACCCAGACCCCTGATTTATAACCCCCCCTCCCTTGATAGGGATTGTAAGAGGGATCCGAATATTAAGGCCCTTTACAAGGACGGGGTTTATTAATCATGGGTCTACATTAGATGCCATTCGGAGGTGGGGCTTGTTCAGGTCCACCAGGCTAAGTCCCCAGATGGGGGCCTTCAAAGTAGAAGCTGCAAGCACATGGTTGACTGGGTTGCTCTTAGTGATCTTAATTCATATAAGCTCGCATGATTTTTACATACACCCCTTATGGTGACTTAGTTTAGCTCCTGACAGCAACCCAGTAGATGTTCCCGTCCCCTCTCATAAACGTCGAGATGCGTAGAAAGCCTTGGGAAGGTGGCTAACCATACAGCTCTCCTCCTGTAGCAGGCTCGGCATAGCCCATGCATAAGACTCAGTACAAACCGAAATGTAGTCACTTAACACCACCAAGCTCTAAACCCAAAACCCTGAAAGCAGAACCCCCCCCCAAATGAGCTATAGTCTAAACTCCTAGTATCCCCCTTAATAATCCCTATAATAGTCCCCTATGTAATCCCCTATATAACCCCCTTTAAGGAGTTTAGACTATAGTACAAATGAGAGAAGGTCTTTAACTTTGGCTTCTTCTTCTATGCCGTCACCTCTTTCGGCTACGGCGCGCCACGGCATAACATGGATCAGCGGCAAGGAGCATCCCAACAGATGGTTCACCAGAGTTCTGTAGGTTAGGGGGTTTAGGTTTTGGGTATGCGTTTCTTTGTGTTCTACATGGACATGAAAACAGAAGAGTATTTTGTTTTGGTATGCTTGTGTTTTTTGTGTATGTTTGTTGTTTTTGGCCTCTTGGCTTCCGCTAATGTCCTTCTTACATACGCCTCATTTAGGAGACCTCTATATCCCATTCCTTCCGCCAGTGAGCCTGAGGTGTTGAATTACAAGCTTGGCCCGAAACTCGGGCCTCGTCACTTGGCGGTTTAGATTTA